TTATTTAAAATATTCCAAACAAATAGTGCCTCACTCGAGTTTTAGAGGGGTCAATTGTGGCAAGCCATAGTCCATGGGATTAGCCAAGCCAGGATTTTTCAGTGAGGCATCTGGGTCAAGAAGAATCAAGGTGAAGTAGACGGACTTGTCTAGGAAATCAAGTGTGAGTGACTGAATGACCACCTTTCCTTTCCAATGGCCCTGACTTGTACAAATCTCTCTCTCTCTCCTCTCCCTTTCTTCCTCTAGAAAAGACAGCCATCACCATGTTAGTAACTCCTTTAATATTGGGGCCACGATGATGAGGAGAAAGGTTGACCTTGAAATGTTAATTTTTTTATAAGAATAGTATTAACAACTTTATCACCTTTCTCTTGTCCCACCACCACTTTCGTCATTGCTTTTTGTGCATCATATTAGACTAATAAAAAATTTTAAAAAAAAGGAGAGAAAAACAAATTAAATAAATGAAGAAGAAGAGAGTAGCATTATAGCATATATGTCAAGCACCTCAACTAAGAGTGAGAACACATTCCAATCATTAGAAAACAATCATCCTATTTAATTGAATTTTCAAAATTCATTTTTTTTTTTGGTTTTTGTAAATTTATAAAACTAAATTTCAATTATTCACACCAGAAAAAATATGATTTTTCAAAAAACTTGCTAATGGAGGAAGAGAGGGCCAATCTTTTTTGAGAAAATTATTTTATTAATATTTAAAAACTCAACTAAATAAAAGTCATTAAATAGAACAAGTGAGCGGAGAGGCACAACAACACAAGCGTAGCCTATTGGGGGGGGGGGGGGGGGGTGGTTGATTTGTTTTTGGTGTTTCACATGCTTTTGGAAACATTTTCAAAAGATGCTTGACTCATGTAGCACTGTGCCTATGCCTATGCCTCATCTTCATATGCTTTGATTAAGAAGAGGCTCACCAATTCACCTCACTAGTATAGTGGCATTTGTATGTTATGTTTGATTCTATAATAATATGTTTGCTAAGGTCTTATTTGGTATATATATATATATATATTTTTCTAATAGATAGGAGAATAGTTATATTATGAGAAATATTTACATCATTCAAACAAACTATTAACCCATACGTAGAAAACCAATAAAATCTAATACGACCCCCATAATAGAGGGAGAAATAAACCAACTACCAGAAAAGATATCAAACTCCTCTTTATAAGAGTTGAACTCGGGACCTCACACGACAAACGGTGCTACACAACCACTAGGTCAAACGCCGTAATTGGTATAGTTTATTAAGTTACTCGTTTCTTCTTCTTATTTTTATTTGTCAAAATATTTAGTATAATTTCTACTTATAATTTAGGAAGCAAAAACAAATAGAACTAAGAGATGGGTGTTTTTGGCTCTACATTTTGATTAATAACTTTTGATTTAAGGAAAAATTATACTAAACAAACCCTAATATTTATAGTAGTTGTCTTTTGAAATTTGAACATTCAAAACACTTAAGCATTCACCTTATTGGTTAACTCATAACAATTTTAGGTATCGTTTGGGAAGTAATAGTTTTAACTTAAAAGTCAAAAAATTATTAAAAAAATAAAAAAAATTTATAATTTATACCAAAAAGTCAAAGATTTATTTTTTCTTTATTTTTTGCACATTTTTTTTTGTAAAAAAATCAAAAAGTTATTCCAAATATATAAGTTTTTTTACCTCATATTTTAATTAAAAAGTCAAAAAATTACTAAAATAACATATTTCTAAACGAGGCCTTAGTATGGGTAATAAGCGAGTCGAACGAAACGAATAGTTAATTGTTCAAACTTGATTTTGTAAACTTTCGAACGGATTTCAAATGAGTTTTTATCGAGCCAAACTTGAGTACTAATTGAATCGAGTTGAACCAACAATTGACTGCTCAAATTTATTTTGAAAATTTTAACAAAATTCAAAATATGTTCAAGATTAACTTGATTATGGGTTGTTTTGAAAAATTGGTTAAAATTGAATTCTTTTGGATTTTTTTGAAAAAACATGTAAAAAAAAAAAAAAAAAAGTAGAGAAGTGATTTGATAAAAAATAGGTTAAAAGTTTATTTTTTTTTAAAAAAAAAATATGTAAAAAAAATAAAGAAGTAATATAATAAAAAATAAATTAATTTTTAACCAAATTTTTAAATTGGCCGCTAACGAACTAAACTCAAACTAACTTTTTAACCAACTGAATACAAATTGATTCATTTATACCCCTAAACTTTAGTGAATTACAATCACCAAGTAGTATGGAATAGACATCTATCCAATGTGACGTGCCTTTACTTAGGACCATCATATTAGGACCATCACAAGGACCATGACATAGGACGTCACTGGTTATCTCATAAATTTTTAGTCACTGTAGTCGATTACTACGCTTTATTTTTTTACCATTAATTTTTATTTTTACTTTTATGTTTTAATATAAATAATGTGTAGACAAAAAGATATATATACATATATTATATTTTAGTATAAAAGAATACATAATATTATTTTTTATTCATACCATTAATGGATTATTGATATTAAGGGTTGATTTGACATAAACTAAATAATACAAAAAGTCAAAAAGTTATTATCTTATTTAAGTCACATCATTTTATGTATATCACATCACCTCTCTAATACATCACATCAAACCCAACCACAGCCCAACCCATATAAGCCAATAAGTCAAAAAGTGTACTTTTTAAAAATATCCCAAACCAACCCTAATAATCCGTTTGAGATGTTAAGTTGAAAAGTCAAAAAATCAAAATGTATTTGGCATGCATCAAAAAAATAAAAATAAAAATAAAAAGTCTTTGTACCAACATGAAAAGACTAAATTACCCTCATAAATGCATATGTGTGTACACTTTTGGGAGAGCAAAACAAAAATTCTACTAAAAATTAAAGCATGACGTTAGTCACTTATGTTTTTCTATACAATAAAAAAAAAATCATTCTCGAACACATTAATTATCTTTTATCTCTTAAAAAAAAGTTAAGAAATAAAAAAAATTATTAAAACAAATAATCCCATACACTCCCTTAAAAGAGGGAGAGCAAAGTGGCTTGTATGGGATTTAAGTTAATTTTTAGAAAAATGTTTGGGACTCTCGACTATTAATCGATTTGAATTTTTTTAGAGAATTATGTTTGACAGTAATATGAATTATTCAAATCATTTTACAAATTATAGAGATTGTATTTTGTGAAAATTTTTATTATTACTGTAATTTTTGTAAATGTCTCAAAATTGATGCAAAACAGGAGGGATTGGCATGGACACAGGACCACTCATGACATGATAGGAATGTCTGGTGATATTTTGGTAGTAGCATATATTAGTTGCAATAATGTTTGAGACGATTAAAAGTGGTGCTCTAAAAGCACCACTAGTAATGTGGCAGTAGACGGGATCCACTGCTTGTGTCTTGTGTTTTTTTTTTATTAAAATACTTACCAACTCATTAGTGGTGTTTTAAAGCACCACTTTTAGTGAGATGCATCATTACCCTATTAGTTGCCAGGCTGGTGTTTGCCAACAACAATAACTACTGTTGCTGATGCTTGGAAAAATAGTAAAAAAAACCAGTCCCATCATCAGGAGCACTACTTAAAACATGAGCAGTATTTCGTTTTTGCTCATGCCATTTATTTGGCAATGTCACAAAGTAATTTGAGCTATTAATGAAGAATGTCACTGATGACACCATCATCCTACAGAAGGAATGGTGATTCACCTAGGCTATAGTTGAAGAGGGCTACACTTACCTAATCCCCTTGACACTGGGGATTGATTTGGCATGTTGAGAAAAAATTAGAAGGTTAAAAATTTATTTAAAAAGTAAAAAAATTATTACTATTTACAAATTAAAAATGTAAAAAAAATTAATTTTTATAATATTAGTATAATCAAAAAACAATCAAAAAAGCAACACAGTGATGGTATTGAATTGATGAAAAATTTACACAGTGATGGTACAAAAAAAAATAGATATATATATTCATTAAGTTGGAGGGTACTGTTAGGTCCTTGGGGGCCTACTACGGATCTGCAAAAGGAGAGGCTTGAGTGGCCCAAATGGGTGTTGGTCGGACGTTCGCGCCGGACGACCGGGTTAAAACTTGTCTAACGCGGTTGTCACCTTTGTCGACTGTGGCTGTTAGTCTTCTCGCCAGACGACTGCTCGGATGACCGGCCAAATGGTTGGCCGGATGACTGGCAAGATGAATTTTAAGCCATTCAAGCCAATTTCCTTTTCGGACTACCAAGCATTGCTCTTTTCAAAAATGCTAAAAATAGTTTGTTACTTTAGAAATATATATAAAAATATGTTTAAGTAGTTTTAGATTTATGGAGAGTATATTAAGATTATAAATATTTTGATATAAGACCTTTTATTAGTGAAAAAGTTGGCGGTTTTGGCTTTTTCAGTTTGAGACATAAATTTTTACTTTTTCATTTATTTAGGCCTTGTATGGCAACAAATGATTTTAGTCAAAAAGTCACTACAAATTATTATATTACTATTTTTATTTTTCTGCATATTTTTTTCATAAAAGATCAAAATGCCACTGATATAGCCAATTTTTAAACGAGCCCTTTGAAAAAAAAAAAAAAAAACCTACTTTAACCACCGATGCCAAAAGGGGCTTATATCTACTTCAACAAAAAATATTCAGTGTTGCAAGCACACAAATGGTCTCTTCTATCCATTTGTATGGACCTCACACAAGACCTACACAACATTTACATGATCACGCCAACACTGAATAATTTCTCATCTTTTTTTATTTCTTCTCCCCCTTATATCTTCACTTCATCGTGCGAGATTGAGGAACTTTTATTATGTCATATCATCAGGGTAATAATTCGTCAATTTGCTAGTTCTTTTTATGTTCCAATCACTATAACACCAAAATCTATTTCATTTAAAAGTAGTTGAGAACTATCAAGGGAGAAGAGATGATACTAGGAAACAAAGTTTTAAAATGCAGCATTTCCAAAACTTCTCATCCAGACAGAAATTTCTTTGTAAGAATTGGTACTGCAACTTAAAAAGGACAACAAAAACCAGGAGGGAGGGAGGGGTAGACAACGAGGTGTTGACTTTTCAGATTGATATATTATTACAACCTGTTGAACCAAAACATATATCTTTATGCAATTAAACACCCAAATAGGGCAATTACAATTTCAAGGGGAGTACATATAAACCCTAACTTCATTAGCACCTTCACATCTTTGACATTGTGTAGTCCATAACATCTACAAGGAAATCTGCAACCAAAGGAAGAGCCACAAAACACCATAACAATAATGTCAAGAAACTCGAGCACGGTAAAGAGATGGGGTCAAGGGTGATTGGCTCAATGTGAGGTCATTTATCGAACCATAATGTTATAATTAAGTCATTAGTAAGCCAGTTTAATTACTCAGTGAACTGTGACCAATTTGAATGGGTTACTGCAATTACCAGTTTGAATGATTTCATGAAAATAAGCTGCTTTTAAGTCTACAACAATTTTTGTGGATTGTTTGGACCACAACCAAGTCAAGTTGCCAGCTCAACCGATTGAACTAGCCAATCCGGTATAGTTTTCAAAACCATGCATGACCCGAGACACAGTTCATGAAGTAGAAAGGTGTCAAAATAGATTGAAATGTTAGGAACGACGTGTTATCACCATAATCAGCATGAGAGTATAAGAACCAACCTGCGTCATTTTTAGTGAAGCAGAGTGGAGGTGTGATTCTGAAAACATTTCCATAAAACCCACCTTTGCCAACCAACACTCCCATATCTGTAATAAAATGGAGGTCTGTTTTTAGCTAGATATCCTTAAATCAGAGCCACACATGAAAATGATAGAGAAATAGATACCTTTCATCTGTTCCATCACATGCATAGTTTCAACTTTTGCAGGAGTTTTCAACTGGTGATCAGTGACAAGTTCAACTCCAAGCATCAACCCTCTACCCCTAACATCTCCAATAACTACAAATACCAAATATACTAGCATCAGAAATCAACTAACAAAAGCTCAAAAGGAAATCCATCGAGTACAAAGAATTGAACTTCTTAAAGAAGATCCAAACAATACATATTTCAGTTCATCAAAAGGGCTGCAAATTAAACAAAACACAATTCCTACGGTTTGAAATGCTGATTGTACTTGCGCAAACAAATATCTAAATTGTTGGGATAGTGTGGATCCTGATAAGTATTGGACATTAACCACTTGACAACAAATCCAACTTCGCAGTAAGATGGCAGCGGGTTGCAGGGGGCAGCACCCTCTAACCTGAAGCTGACCCAAATTTTGGAGTAAGGGTACTTTTGAATTTCTGCACTTGTAACTTGTGGCCTTAATTTTCTATGTACTTATGGTTTAGGGGAGGCAACTATCTCTGTAATCTCTTGTAATCTTTATGATCGTAGTGAAAATCACAGCCGCCGTGGATGTAGCCCTAGTTTGGGGTGAACCATCTAAACCTTGTATTCTTTGTGTGTGTGTGATTTATGTTATTCGTGTGTTTGTTCTTTTATGTGATTCTTAACATAAATAACAGCCATGAGAGGTGAAGGAAAAAAAACTTTACTTTCATGCTTATCCTTGAGAGCAGTTAGGCGCTCTTTCAGATAGGACCCAACAACATGTGCATTCTCTTGAAGCTTCTCTCTCTCAATTACTTTGAGAACAGCCAGTCCTGCAGCAGTACATACAGGGTTTCCTCCAAAGGTGTTGAAGTAACTGCGACGAGTTAAGACCTCTGCAATCTCAGGAGTAGTAACCACAGCACCAAGAGGAATTCCATTTCCAATGCCCTACAGATATCAGTTACAAAACAAGTCAAGACCAAAAAATAAAATAAAAAAACCCAAAAATTGAAGTGTAGAGAACCTAAATTTTGCAAAATCAAAATCATTTTTAAAAATTCAAGGTCGATCTAGAAATATCCTAGTTATCTTGCTCTCAAAAGTCAAAAGCCCTTCCAAAGTTTGACATGCTTTGGTATAGAAAGTTGTCCAGGAGTGAAAGCAAGATTATGAACCCACAGCAACCGGGGAAAATGGCCAGCAGCAACTAAGTTTAGCATCTTTCTAACCCCATTATTCTGCACTTGTCCATCCTTGACAAGGAGGTACAGATTATTAGCCAAAACCTTAGCAAGTGATAAGCATGTATGTGGGTTTTTTTTTCCCCACTAAATCCAAACAAGTCCATGAGTTGTAGCCCTAAAAAAGATGACAAGACGAAAGAAAGAACTTGTCCCAAGGTATCTTTAACTGAAAAAGTTAAGATTCACAAGTGAACAAAATAACTGCTGATACAGCCTTCTTGTCCTTCAGTTTTATTAGCACGTTTTTGAGCCATGGACCTATCTCAACATAGTCTTAATTCTATGAAAAAGCAAAGGGTGGAGGAGAAGATAAGCTTCTGAGAGTAGATTGTGAAATATCAATTACAGGGTACATTACTCTCGAGTCTTGAGAGTTTGTGTTTGTGAACTAGGCTTTTATTAGATCTCTGAAAATATTATTAAAAAGAAAAAGAAAGGAAAGTTTACCTTCGCCATTGTCACCATGTCAGGCACAACGCCTTGGGTCTCAAATCCCCAAAAATGGCTCCCAGTGCGAGCAAACCCAGATTGAACCTCATCGGCAATACAAAGCCCTCCTGCTTTCTTAATACTGCTATATACGGCAGGTAAGTAACCCGGGGCCAATTCAATAATTCCACCCACTCCCTGCCATTTTAGAGAGCATTTCAAATTAGACAGTAAAAATTTGTATTAATAGGAAAATGATTTCTCCCACAATTTTTGTAAAGAATTTAAGAAAAAAATGACGTGCAATGACACTCTTGCAATTATGAACCATAGTGATGGGCATTTGACTATCAATGCAGGGATATAAATGCGACACATTATTTTGTATAAATTTTTTGTATTAAATCTTGTGTGTATATCATTACCCTAATCAATATAGCCACAAAAAGAAACAATAAAAACAAATTTACATTGACGATGGTTACCTGTATGGCTTCAGAAATAAAACCAGCTACATGCCCTGAAGTTCCAAAGGTAATGAGATCTTCAACATCTCTTGCATATTTCTCCCCGTCTGAACCAAAGACTCCTCTGTATGGATCTGGGTTAAGGGCATGGTGAACTCCACTCTATTGACCAATCCAAAACGTATGCCAGGATTAGGGAACTGGATTATCTTTAATAATAATTTGGTTGCATTGCATTTGTGAATGCTAATTTATGATTACTTGGTTCTATAAAAACAAACAACAGATTTCTTGGATTAGTTAAGGATAAATGCAGTATAAGGTAAGATTGGAAGCTTCACAAAATAATTAATCTTCCATATGTTTAGTATCTTCAGCAATATCTACTGTAAAGTGTAAATGTTAACATAAAGCTACCAATGGTAAAATAAGCAAGTAAACAACACAACAATCATGCAAATGACAAACTAAATTACGATATTAACCTATATTTGGCTATTCCTACAGGCTACATTTCATGTCACCGGATAAAACTATTCATTATGACCTTCAAGGACTTCCAAGGATCTCATTACATTCACGCAGTATGTTCCCCCAAAGGAAACACCTTAACTTTTGGCGATTAAAAACAAATTTATTTCATCTTCAGCTCTTTTCTTGCTTTCTTTTCTGTTCGTCCTCACCCTCTAAACACCTGAATTATCTTCTAGAATATTTACATACCAAATGGATGAATCCCCTCACCATTAAATATGATTCAATGGCTACAATATTTCAAATATTTTTCCTGCACCAATACTTGACTGATGTTTAGTGTGTCCCATTTGTATTGAGACTGCATCCAATCCAGAATCTGTGTTTCAAGTCCTACTAGGCTCTCATTTTAATGATGTCACACTATCTTTCTTAGTGATGTAATTCGCTTAGCCTAACCTTATGAACTAAGCCTAGAGCCCTAGACTAGGAGTGTAAAAGCAAAAACGAAGCACAAATTTAGTCTCACCGACAAAAATCAGATTTGTCCTGGATTAGATGAAAGCAATAATCAGATTTGTCCTTCCCTGATTCCCCTCACATGCACATAAGTTATGTAAATATTTTTAACATTAAAACATATGGGGGTGCAACCATATCATGAAAAATCAGTATGTTGACATTCTTTTTATCTTATTATTATTGGTTGGTTTAGGAAATAAGTTTATTAAAATAAACTAGTTATTTTGTATTATTTCCTCAACACCAATCATGATTTACTTATGCTTCATTGCTTCAAAGCTGACTTTAGACTTTACTAACCACTGGACATACTTCAGAGAGAATTACCTTCTTCCCCTTCTCCCCCAGCCTCCTTTTTCTGATTTCTCTAATGTTTCTTAAAAAAAAACAAAAAAAACAAAAAACAAAAAAACAAAGTCTGCCAAACTTTTTGTCCACCTGATTTCCTTATGTGGGTTACTTGGACAGCTATCATCTACCCACAAGTAGCCTAACATGTTTAATTCAAGCAATTGTTATATGGTCCATATATCTTTGGCCAAACAATGGAATTAAAAAACAAAAACACAAAAGAAAGTTTCAAAAAATGAAATATATATATAAAAAAAAAAAAACCTTCAAAAGTGATCCAAAAAAATAAAAATAAAAATAAAGTACGTGGGCTAGATTCATTCAAGTATGCATCCCACTACATTTGAATTTATAATGTAACTTGTTTTTCTGATATTTTTCAGAGAGTAATGTTAGGAATTATGAAAAAAATATCATGAAATCTTTCATGAAGATTTCTACTCCTTTGATTAGTGTGTGGTGTTTTTTTGTATGTGTAATCTAACGGTGGAAAATCTTTCATGATCATTTTCATGATATTTTTTTCATGATACATAGCATTACTCTTTTTTAAACTACTTTTCTTAGCCTTCGTTTGGGAAGTGGGTTGGCTTTTTGATTTTTTTGACTATTTTAACCTGGGGCTAAAAAACTTAGTTTGGGAAGGGTTTTTGACTTTTTTGTGAGAGAAATAATTTTGTCTTATTGGACTAAAAAGTCTATTTTGTTTTTTATGGCTATTTTAACCCAAACCCTCCCCCCTCAAGTTAGTCTATTTTATTTTTTATGGCTATTTTAGCCCAAAAAACCCCCCAAACTAACTTGCCAAACCGAGGTTTAGTTCTATAGTTTCGTGAAATTGCAAGTTGGAATGTCAATTGTGCTATGTAGCTCGAAAGAGAGATTCCCCGAATCTCCCGAATTCAAAACGACGTCGTTTCGTCGTTTTGATTTTTTTGATTTTTTATTTTAATAACTGGCAGAAGAAAAATCAAAAAAAAAAGAAGAGGAGAAACAGAAGAAAACGTAGCAGAGAGAGATAGAGAGATCATCAACCACCCATCATCACCATCATCAACCACCCAACACATCATCATCATCATTACATCATCACAGATCGGAGGCGGAGATCAGAGATCGGAGGCCGAGCTGAGACGATCGGAGGCGGAGGCAGAGGCAGAGGCGACGATCGGTGGCGGAGGCGGAGGCGGCGGCGATCGACTCTCTCTCTCTCTCCATTCCTTCTTTCCCTCTCTTCTCTTTCTCTCTTTTTCTTCCTCTTCCTCTTCCTTTTCTTCACTCTATCTGTTTCAGACATAAGAAGAAGAAAAAAAATAAAAAACTACCCAAAAAAAAAAAAAAAAAAAAACTACCCAAGAAAACGTCGTTTTGAACAGTCGGAGAGAGATTCGAGCTACAAAGGATTATACTTGGACTATATGGTATATTCATGTAAGCAATACCTGTACAACATTAAATTTCCAATTGCACTGCCCAGTGGCCCCCATAGTCCCGGCTGCGTTCCCATGGTACGCATTCCTCAGTGATACGATGTCGTGGCATCCTGTATACAACCGAGCGATCATCATCGCCAGCTCATTCGCCTCGGTCCCACTATTGGTGAAAAACACAACCTATCAAAAACCATCCAAAAAAGCTCCATATCCAATCAAAACTGTCAACTCATTCAATCAGAACCGTCCAATTGTTAGAAAATCACAAAGCCATACCTTCAGATCACCGGGCAACTTGGAAGCAAGTGCCTCGGCGAAATCAACGACAGTGGGATTGAGGTAGAGAATGGTGGAGTGCTGTAAGCGGTTGGTTTGGTCGACAATTGCTTTGACCACATCGGGGTGGCAGTGTCCGCAACACACCGTAGCAATCCCCCCGAATGCGTCAAGATATCTACGGCCGTTATCTTCGTACAGGTATTGCATCTTCCCATCCACAATGTTGAGCTGTCATCACAAGGCCAAGAATTAACTGCTCCCTCCCACCATTTTTTATTTTGGAAAAAATTTATTATTTGAAAAATCTGATCACCCTAAAACAAATGAGAATTTGTTTTGGTTCGGTTTTTAAAAATTATTTTATTTTCTTTTAAATGTTTTAATTAAATTTTTTTAGATGCTCAGCTTGGGATCAATCTAAAAATATCAAAAAAAAAAAATCAAACTTTTCTTTTGTTATCCGTGTTTCTGTAAAAAAAAACTGTGTTTAGTTCCAGATAGAAAAAATAAGGGTCCAGCTTGTCTCAAGTAAAGAAAATGTAACCAATGAGAGAGAGAGGGGGTCAAAGGGGGTGGGGGAAAATGGGGATGAATCATTGTTGATTATTTTATTTTCTTTTAAATGTTTTAATTAAATTTTTTTAGATGCTCTTAATGTACACCTAAGGTGAGCTTGGGATCAATCTAAAAATATCAAAAAAAAAAAATCAAACTTTTCTTTTGTTATCCGTGTTTCTGTAAAAAAAAACTGTGTTTAGTTCCAGATAGAAAAAATAAGGGTCCAGCTTGTCTCAAGTTGAGATCAAGGCTGGACTCGTCCAGTTCTGTTCATGGGGTCTATTTTTTGGGCTCGATTTAATAATCCGAACCGTTTAATGTGTAGAACTCGTCGAGTACTACATGCTTGTAAAAAATCACGTTGATCGGATATAAATAGCTATGTGATCAAATCAGTTTTATATTAAAAAAAATAGACGGTGAAACAATTAACGGTTGATAAAAAACTGTTTTGTTTACATAGCTATCGATATCCGATCAACGTGATTTTTTACAGGCATATAGTACTCAACGAGTTCTACACATTGAATGGTTCGAATTATCAAAACGGGACTCGTGGTGGGCCCTCACGGGCCCAACAGCACGGTCCAGTCCGATCTTGGACTAGACCAAAGCCACTGCCAAAAAATAAAAAGTACAAAAAAAATTTGAAAAAATCTTTAAAAAAATTATTAAAAGAATAAAAAAAAATCAATTCTATTTATTTATTTTCGTCTTTAGAATACTTTTTATTATTTTTAAATTTTTTCTTTTTCTTGTCTGTAAATTTTCTCATAAAGAGTAGGGCTCAGAATTCGAAAGATTAATATAATTACAACTAGGGAAAATTATTTATAAGTCCTGTTAGGGAGACTTATGCTACATATGGTCCTATTAAAAAACTTAGGTTCCCAAAAGTCCTGTGAGAAGTTTGTTGACACATTTACCCTTAATATTAGTTGTTAATATCATAAATAATAGTAAGACCATATATAAAAAATTGAATGTTACCATAGATCATATCTATATAAACGTAACGTAACGTGACACCTGTACGTAACGTGACACTTACATAAATGTAGCGTGATACTTATGATCTATGGCAATGAAATTGAATGTTGTCATAGATCATATCTACATAAACGTAACGTAACGTGACACCTACATAAACGTAACGTGACACCTACCATAAATCATATTTATATGAAACGTAACGTGATACCAACATAAACCAGCAACATTTTCACATTCAACTTTAAAAAATAAACACTCATTAAATTTGTGAAATGTAACGTGACACCTACATAAACGTAACTCATTGTCTCACGTTACGATTATGTAGGTGTCACGTTACGTATAGGTGTCATGTTATGTTACGTTTATGTAATACATTCTTATCTAAATAGGACTTGAGACTCTATAAGAAATTACACAAGACTTAGTGTAGTATAAGTGTCTGAAAAAGGACTTATAAATAAGTCTCCCTTACAACTACTTGTAACATCGGTACATTCTTTGTTTAGAACATTCTATAAATAATAGTGAATTTTTAAAAGGTTGGGGCTTGCCTCTAGACAAGGGTCCAGACCGATTTATTGGGCTCATTTTTAAATCTATTTTTGATAATTCGAACGGTTTATATTTTAAGATTTATTAAGTATATTATCTCTATAAAAAATCGTGTCGATCGGATAACGGATACTATGTATTTAGTTCACTTTTTTATAAACTCTTAATTTTCTGGCCGTTAATTTTTTTCCTAAACAAAGTGATTCGAACACATAGTATTCGTGATCCGAATACATAATATCCGTTATCCAATCGAAGTAATTTTTTACAAGTATAATGTATTCAACAAATCTTAAAATTTGAACGGCTATGATTATTGAAAAAGGGCCTAAAAGTGAGTCAAATGGGTCGAACTGGACTGAACTATCTCAAATCTGGACTAAAGACCGTTCGGACCCTTTTTAAAAAGTACTAAAAAGGCACCCACCCTAAAAATAAATACATATTAAAAAAATTAACAAAATATTAAAACACATGAAAATGTGTATCTTTAGTGAAAAATTGACTTAGGGTTGGTTTGGGACGATCTAAATAAGTATACTTTTTTGATTTTTTATGAAATATGAGTTGGTTATGGGTTGAGTTTAAAGGAATGTGTTAAAGACATGATGTAACTTAAATAAAATGATGTAACTTAAATAGTATAGTAATTTTTTAATTTTTTGACTTTTTTAAATTATGCCAAACAAGGAGTAAATATGAATGACAATTTTTTTTTGAGGCCTGAAATCAGTTTTGGAAAGAATCAAACCAATTAAATCTAAACCATATTAAGAATCTTCTGACAGATAATATTCAAAAGGACCATTACCATATATCTTTACGTATACGTAAGATATTCATAAAATTACGTAAGAACTCGTTTTACAAGTGATTTTTTTAGTTAAAAAATTAAAAAGTATTTAAAAAATTAAAAAGTCAATAATTCATATTAAAAAATTAAATTTTTTTTTTCTTTTTATTTTTACACATATTTTTGTAAAAAATTAAAAATTTATCCAAAATATATTAATTTTGTTAGCTTATATTTTATCGAAATAGCCAAAAAATTATTAAATTAGTCTATTCCTAAACGAGGTCAGTTTTATAAATATAAAAAAATTAATTCATAAAAATTTTAAAAATCACAAATTATATATATTTATAAAGACTTATAGAATTTTGTCTGTGAAGTAATTTATATATATTTTAAAAAATTTAGGCAAATATATAGTATGCAGTCATTAAGGGCCAGTTTGTTAAACAACTCCCGTAAAAACGAGTGGCTAGGAGAAAATTAAAAATTAAATAAATCACGATTAATATATATATATATGTTTAAAAAACAAAAAATGTGATAGTGTTGTTAATGAACATTAATAAGAAATCAAAAGGAAAAGCAAGGAAGAGAATATGATTCGGTGGAGGCGGACTTACAGGTTTGTTGTAGAAGTAGAACATGGAAGGGCTGAGAAACTGTTTGCGCTTCTGCAATATCTCGGTGGCGGAGGGGCCGGTGTAGGGCGGCGGAGAGTATTCGAATGGGGGCATTTTGGGAATTAAAGCTTCATTCGAGGTCTCTTTCTCAGCTACCTGAGAGAGGCTTCGATGCCCAACGAGTAAATCTTTCGCCGGAATTGCTCTTCTGATCGGAAATCTCTGCATCTTCAATTCCTCTCCTCTCTCTCTCTCTCCCTCTATTTATATATATATATGGTTCGTCTTCCGTTGCCTCTGCTCTCTCAAAAAAAATGCAGGATCCTGGTGAGCAGAGGAGGGAGAGAAGGGGGAGAATGGGATCTCAGAGAGAGAGAATGGGGAGATAGGACAAGAACTAATATATATAGGGGAAAGACAGTGGGTCTCGTTTGGGAAGCGGTTTATTTTAGTAAGTTATTTTAATTTTTGACTATTTTAAGCAAATAATTAGTTGATTATTTAAATAGATTAAAATTTTTGTGTTTCAAAAAATGATTAGCCTATTTTATGATTGAATGTGATGTTTGCGAGAGAAAAAATAAAATAATTATGAATTTAATGTGATATTTTCTCTTATTAATTATTTTAATTTATTTTATCTTTTTTTTTGTAAATTTTAGTTTTAAAAAAAAAGCTAAAAATTCAGTTCCCAATCAGGATTACGTTACAAAAAATGTGTACCGTATGTATTTTATGATTAAAGAAAAAAATGACATGATTTTATATTTTTTAAAATATAATTAAAAAATTATAATCAAATAATGTATGAAATATAATTAAAAATTTAAGAATCATAATTATAAAAAGAATGATGAAAGTTAAGATAGGAAGAATTTTTGCATTGATAGGGAGGATATTGAATAAAGGGAGAGAAAGAACAGAGGCGACAGAGAAGGGGAAGGAGATCCGGTGACGTATGCAATTGTATATACACGCACGGGGATATCATGGGACGGAGGGAGAGAACACTCACTTGATACTTCGTAACCGTTCTTTTCTATTTTGGGTATTACTAGATCCTCTTTGAAAGGTAGTGTATTGTTTGGATTCGTGGAATTTTTATTATGGGTCTATTTTGATCATTTTCCTCATTTATTTTCTAAGATATTTTGTGTATTTTATTCATATAATAAATTAAATTAATTTGATAATTATAATTAATTTAATATATTTTTTACCAAAAAATAAATGATAATTGTGTTATTAAAAATAAATTATATATATATTTTTTATAATAAACATAATAAATTGAATAAGTTATAGTTATTTGATCGACTTAATTATTTGTGTTGATAAAATGCACGAAATATTTGACAAATTAAACAGTTCAAAAACAACGCTTTCTACTTTAGATTTTGGACTAGATAAAACTCTTGTTTCAATTATTTGAATCGTTTACTTTCTAAAATCATTAATATATATTATTTATGAAAAAAAAATTAAGCTGATTTGATAATTATAATTTTTTTATTGAGAAAATTAGTCTAGAGTCTCACTTCCATTTTTAATAATGGAAGATATCCATAATATTATTTTATGATATCTAAGATCCTTCAGCCTTACACTCATATATTATAGAGAAATTTGACTCTTTCAAATCAAATCTTATTTTTCTCTCTCTCTGCCTTCCCTATTTCGTCTCTCTCTCTCTCTCGCTCTCTCTCTCTAAATCCAAACCTCACTTCACTTCCTTCAACGGCGGTTGAGATTCTTTCGAGCCTCGACTCCATCTCCTTCCCACACTGCCTTGACGACGGCGATGCTGACAGGTCCCCTTCTTCAATCATGTGTGAAGCTTGTTGAAAAGAAGCAAGAGTCTCAATGGGGGCTAAGGCAGAGACCGAGAAGTCGGAAGAGAGAAAACGAGGTCTTGGAATCAAAGGAGAAGATCTTGATAAGCGAGGGTTGATCACGGTGCCTGCCCTTTTCCACCACCACGAGATGGGCATTTTCCGGCCGCCTGATCCACAAAGCACATGTTACGGTGCCTTGTCTCGACGAACTATCCTCCATCTTTTTATAGAAAGAAATGTGTGTATAAGAGAGAGAGAAAGAGAGAGAGAGTTCCTGGAGTTGAAAATGGTGGTATTGAAAATATTATATCAATGTTCGGTATTATTTCTTGCCTTTTGGTATTGTCCGGTGTCTTTTATCAGACTTCTATCAATGCTTCGACGATTAGCAAAGTTGAATCCACCGCTTTTGGAAACTCTACCTGTACGAGCTATCTAATTGTTCTAGATGCGGCGTCTTGAAATTGCATGACTTGCTTGAGAGCTGAATCAGAATGTGGATTCTATTCAAATGGTGCTAACCTAGTAAGTGTTTTTTTTTTTTTTGCCCAGTAAATTTGCAAACCAAAGAAATTTTGCAATCTAGAGAAATTTGCAAACCAGAGAAATTTGTGCAAACTAGATGACACAGTGTTTGATTCTAACCCAAGTGTTGAGATTTGTGTAGCTAATCAAATTGTTGTTCCATGAACAAGTGCCAGCAAATTCAATGCTTGAAAATGCAGTTGATGTGTGTTCTGCAAGCTAAGAAAATTTGGTTAAACCCTAGTATTTTTTCATGCAATTTCTTGCTTAAATGTTTGGCAGAAGCAAATAGAGTGGAATAAAGAAGTATGGACCATTGCCTAATGTACGCACCTATACCATTATGATGAACTTTTATTGCAAAGGACATCATGCAGTAGATATTAGACAAGTTACTGGAATTCTGGAAGAAATGGAGGAGAGTGGGGAAAGCCCAACTGTTGTAATATACAACACGAACATTCATGGGCTTTTAAGAGTTGGATGTATTGAATTTGCTTTGAACCTCATTTGAAAATTGGGGCAAAAAAAATTAGTCTGCCAAAAGTTACTATTATAATGCGGTTATTGATGGATTTTGCAAAAGAGGCGAAGATGATGAAGCTTTGAGGGTTATGGGAGAAATGAAGAGTTGTGGAATTTCACCAGATGTGTATAGTTACAGCATTTCAATTTTTCGGTTATGCAAAGATGGAAATGTTGAGAAAGGTCTTAGTTTGATGGAAGAAATGGAATTTGGTAACTTAAAATAGTCGCTTGTTAGCTATACCTCGCTCTTAAAAGGTTTCTGTAAGAGTGGACTGATGGAAAGATCACAGGACATGTACTATAAACTTAGAGAGAAAGATCAGTGGCTTTCCATGAGACAACTTTGTAGATACACAAAACTCTCTGCAAAAACTCATAAAGCTTTTTGGTTGTACACACAAAGGCAGGTAACAAGTAGACCATGACTTGTAGATACAATTAGTATGACATGCCATTGAAAATCACAGAAAATGAAATTTTCTTTGGTTTTAGAGAGAATTTTTCTGTGTTGGAGAGGGGAAATTTCTTTGGTTTAAGTGAATTTATCTAGGTTGGAGAGGGGAATTTCTTTGGTTGGAGTGAATTTCTTTGGGTTGGAGAGGGAGATTTCTCTGGTTTGAGTGAATTTCTCTAGGTTAAAGAGAAGAATTTCTCTGATTTTGAGATAATTTCTCTAGATTGAAGTGAATTTCTCTAGAAAGTCCAGAGAAATTCTGGTGCAGAGAAATTCGAATTTCTCTGGTGAGATTTTTTTTCTGAAGTCCAGAGAAATTCTCTAGATCGAATTTTCTCTGAATCAATTTGAAAAACCTTAGACATTATTAAAGTATTGAATGTCCTTTATGCTATAAAATCTTAATACCAGGGACCTTAAAAAAAATTCATTTTTTTATTTTATCGTGTTTGTCTCTAAGAGAATGTATGATCTATTTTCAAAAAAACATTTGCTGTTTATTTTTTCTGAGACAAATGCGATAAAATAAAAAAGTTACGATTATCAAATCGACCTAATTTTTTCCATAGATAATATTCATTAAAGACCCTATAAAATGAACTATTTAAATTATCAGAACAACAGTCATGGTGGATCTCACAGACCTTTCAAATTTTCTTATGTTGAATATGAATATGAGAGACAATTTCTTCTAATTCAACTATGTTACCAATGGTTATCCATTTTTCTTAATTTATTTTATAAATCAGCATTTTTTGAGGGGATTCATTAGTATCATTTTTTAAGTATTTGTATTTTAATTAGTTCATAACATTTTGTATTTCAATAAGTCCTATTATTTGGACATTTGATTCACCAAATTCTAATTGTCATATTTAAGGTATTTTATGAACAATTTTACTTATACAAATATTTTTTGAACGCTTAGTAATTTGGTTTACAGTAGAATGTTCACATCATAGAACATTCACACTGTTAATATGAATGTTATTATTAAGGGTACTTTGCTAATTATGTCACCCATAGGATTTATTGAAATATAAGAAAACAATTTAGACTAAGTGGAACATAAGTAGGTGAAGAGAGATTTATGAATAAATATCTCTTGTTTTTCACCTTCAACTTTTATTTTATTTTATTTTATTTTTTGGGACAAATTTTATCAAAATATGGTTAAATAATTTTATTTCTATTTTCCACCATTTGCTAAATATTATCTAATATGTTAATTCATGAAATAATATGATTGGGATATGCAATGATTTGAAAAAAATGGAAAAAGAAAGATAACATAGTGGGTATATTTGATTGACAGGATTAAAGTATGAGATTGTGATTATTAATCCGTAGGCCTAACAATCTTATATTTGTTTTGAAATTTTGTTTTAGGATTATTAATCCAATGAATAATTAATCCAACAAATTTGTATAATTATTAGTAATGGGGTATGGGTGAGATTATATATCCTGAACTGGGGAATAAAATAAAAAAACTCTTTTACCCTTGACTAAAAATTAAAACACTTATTATTTTTATATAATTTTATATTTTAGAAGGCTAAAAATAATTTTTGATATTTATTTTATCAAATTAGTTTATATTTTAAAAAATTAAAAAAAAAACCAAAAATGGCTTTTGTATTTTGTATTTTTATTTTGCTTTTATTTATTTATTTATAATTTTTTTCAAAACCACATTTATGAAGAAATTTGATCAAGTAAAGATTGTGAATAAACATTGATGGAGGGTAAGATTGGAAAATAAGATAAATACAGTTGTAATTTTACAGTCATATTTTTTCTTATCCAATGCAAATCTTGTCCAATGCAAATCAAACAATGGATAAGGAGATAATTTATCCTACTAATTTAATTGGATAATGAATACCATACTAATTTGATGGGATTATTAATAGTTTCACTATTAGTCTTGTAATTAAACATAGCCAGAGAGAAATAAATAAAAATGTATTTGATCTCATTGGGAAATTTTTTTTTATTATAATGATGTATGTTATTTATTAGGGTTGTGATTGA